TTTTTAAAATTTTTAAATTTCCCGCCGCCGGCGGCGCCCCGTACGTCCCGACGTCACAGGGACTGGACACAGAAGCCGGATGCCGGCATCGGCCGGAGGAGATGGCTGGGGACGCTGCAGGGGACACATCGTGGGAGCGCAGGGTAAGGTAAGTGAAGACAACATGCCGGAGCAGTGCCGCAGGGTAAGCCCGAGTGTAGCTCGGGGTTACCGCTTTTGGTACTGAAATGTTACCCCGAGCTACACTCGGGAATACCGTCAAGGAGGTTAACCACTTCCCGCCCGGCCTATATTCAAACGTCTCGTCCCTCCAGGAGGGTGTCATATGACGGCCTTTCCGGATCGCACGTTGTGCATACCCACAGGGCTGAGCTGTGGCGAGATATGTCACCGGTCGTGTACCTCGGACACAGTCGATGACAGGACTGTGTACCAACCCCGTTGCCAGTACCATGTGACCTGCTGTGACCAATCACAGAAGGTCACATGACAATTGTATACAATTAATGACTTCCTTTCATGGCATCCATTGTATAGAAGTGTATCTAGCTGTGAATGATCACAGTGATCACACGCACAGGCTGGGCTAGTCACAGCCCATCTGTGTCATGTGATTAGTCGTGGCCAATCACAGCTAATCACAACAAAAAAAGCTGAATGAATCGATTTCATTCAGTTAAATGCTTGCTTATAGCAAAGAAAAAAAAAAATAGTGATCACCCCAAAGTAGTACAATGTTACTGTGGTTACATGATACTACTTTGGTCATAGTGTAATATGAAAACAAATCTTAAAAAAAGAGAAATGTAATAAAAAATAATTGAAAGAAATAGAAAAAAAAAAAATAATTTTTTTTTTTTCGTACTGTCACCCGTCAGTGTCCCTGATCACCGCCACACAAGTTATATGATGACGCTGTACTGCACTGGTGACAGTATGTAAAAAAAAAAATTGTGAAAATAATTTTTTTAATTTCTTCATTTTACGAAAAATGATGACAAACAAATTACAACTTCAAAAAGCTCGCCATGCCTCTTATGAAATACATTGGACTGTCTACTCTGCAGAAAGGGGTCATTTGGAAGATATCTGTACTGTTCTGACATTTGGGGGATATCTGTACCGTTCTGACATTTGGGGGATATCTGTCCCGTCCTGACATTTGGGGGATATCTGTACCGTCCTGACATTTGGGGGATATCTGTCCCGTCCTGACATTTGGGGGATATCTGTCCCGTCCTGACATTTGGGGGATATCTGTCCCGTCCTGACATTTGGGGGATATCTGTACTGTCCTGACATTTGGGGGATATCTGTACCGTCCTGACATTTGGGGGATATCTGTCCCGTCCTGACATTTGGGGGATATCTGTCCCGTCCTGACATTTGGGGGATATCTGTCCCGTCCTGACATTTGGCGCATATCTGTACTGTCCTGACATTTGGGGGATATCTGTACCATCCTGACATTTGGGGGATATCTGTACTGTTCTGACATTTGGAGGGATATCTGTACTGTTCTGACATTTGGGGGATATCTGTACCATCCTGACATTTGGGGGATATCTGTACTGTTCTAACATTTGGGGGATATCTGTACTGTTCTAACATTTGGGGGATATCTGTACTGTTCTAACATTTGGGGGATATCTGTACTGTTCTGACATTTGGGGGATATCTGTACCGTCCTGACATTTGGGGGATATCTGTACCGTCCTGACATTTGGGGCATGTCTGCACTGTCCTGACATTTGGGGGATATCTGTACTGTCCTGACATTTTTGGTCCTCAAGAAATTAGATTGGCCGTCAGTACTTCAGGATTGATCAATTTTCAGATATATTCCATAGTTTGTGAACTCTATAACTTTTCTACAGACTAAATAATAAACACTGATTTGGGTTATTTTCACCAAAGACATGTAGTAGAATACATCTTGGCCTAAATTTATGAAGAACAATTATTTATTTGCAAACTTTTATAACAGATACAAAGAAACATGTTTTTTTTTTTTCAAATTTTTTTGTCTTTTTTTGTTAATTTAGCACAAAATGAAAACCCCAGCGGTGATTAAATACCACCAAATGAAAGCTCTAGTTGTGTGAACAAAATGATAACATTTTATTTTGCGTACAGTGTTGCATGATCGCGCAATTCTCATTCAAAGTGTGAAGCGCTGAAACCTGAAAATTGGCCTGGGCAGTAAGGGGGTAAAAGTGCCCGGTATGGAAGTGGTTAAACAAGATATATATAGCGCCAACAGTTTGCACAGCGCTTTACAAAATGAAGGCAGACATTACAGTTACAATACAATTTGGTACAAGAGGAATCAGAGGGCCCTGTTTGCTAGAGCTTACAATCTAAGGCATGTCAAATAATTTTTGCACTATGCTGGAGATTTCTAGAAGATTCTGGATCAAAAATTCATATCCTGCCCTGAAATTAGGAAATTTTCATCCAAATCAAAGATCTCATCTAAAAGTTCACAGACCATATCAGAAGACCTCACCTTCTTCCTTCTGCATCACTCACAGATCCCCCTTAAAGTCAACCAAAAATTCTTTAATTCCCATTCATTAATTGCCACTAAATCCTGCATTCCTTTTCTTTGGAAATGTCTGGCTTGCTCCCCCTTCCATCTTACCAGGTGACCTGTTCCGCTCTTGATCCCCCTTTCCCCCCATACCTATGGTCCTGGTCATTTATTCCAGTCATGTCATTTACTCCAAGGTCTTCTTTCTCGCTAATTTCCCCTGAGCCCCACCATACACACTGGATAAAGGCCTCATCTATATGTTAGTTAACAATCTGGATTTGTATGGTTCGGGGTCTTATAGTTCCTGTTATTTAATGTGGAAATTTAGAACTGTCATTATTGTATCCTGCTGGACTGTAAATATATTCTGTTCTTGTTTTTTTTTGGAAAAAAAAACAATAAACAGATGTAGCGCTACCACCAAAGGAGTCACTGGAAAATGCCTGGATTCTTCTTCCCACTGATTGCCCTGCTGCCAGGCACACTATCACGGCCAATCTCTGGCACAATATCAAGTCTAGGGACTCTTTTTTTGGTGTTTGTTTGGGGGGCTCTCTGGGATAGGGTTGGGGAATCGAGTGGGATACTCCAAAAAGAAGTATGTTACCAGACTAGATCTTCAGACGATAGTCCAGTGGTTAGCTTTCTGTAACTTCAGCATCCACACCCCTTAGCTAGCCCAGCTGAGACCTCTTAACAGCAAGCACACAGCAGGGCTGCCCAGTGGGCAGAAAGGCCTCCAAGCTGGACGTCTCCTCTGCAGGATAAGACCAAACTGCTCTATGTCTAAGTATATATGCAGACTCCCAGCAGCCTTCTGGGCCACCCTTCCTGGGTTTGGCCGGGACTGTATAAACATGCTGTTTTTTGCATTGCTTCACTCCTATGTTCTAGAGAGTTCTACAGTTCTGTGGAAAGCAGAGGAAACAATCAAACTAGCAGCAGCAGCTGAAACACTGAATAGTCCGAACTAATCACATTCAGAGCCTAGTCTGAACCCAGTCGAGTGAGTCCACCAGGAATCTGTCATGTTACTGGGCTAATCACAAGTAGGTAAGGCATTCCCAGCCCCACAGTCATGCGTGACCAAAGGTGTGTATATATGTGGCTGAGGACTGGGGAATGCCTTGGCCCCATATGATTGGCCCAGTAGAGTGACAGTTGCTTGGTGGGCTTGCACACTAGGATTCAGACTAGGGTTGAACACCCTGAGCTCATCCCAATAAAGCACAGAGTGGTCCCTTACCTCCTCTTCGGCAGTACTCGCCGGTGCAGTTTGCTCCTTCTTCCTCCGGTTGCCCCATTAGCAAGCCGTGTGCTATGGGGGCACGTGCGCAGGTGTGCTCCCGAGAGGGGCTGTGTGTGTCCATAGACACACTAGGTGCTGGCAAGCCCCTCCTCACAGGAGTTTGACTGAAAGCAACATGACTTCATTTTCTATTTACACAGCGATTATATGGTATATGCGGCATAAATTCGTATATACTGTAATTAACCCTTAGTGCAAATTCATACATATATTCGCCAAACATAAATTATCACAATTTGATATTAGTTCAAGTACTTCAAACATAACATGCAATTAATGTAAAGTGCTTTCAATAATAAAGCGTCCACAGTAAATACATTGGTAAAGTGCTTTGTGCTGTTTTCCAACTCTTGTGCAAATTTCTTCAGTGTGTCACTCCACCAATGTGCCAAACCTAACACTCTAGAAAACTCTCTGGAAATCTGTGACCCCCTAAGCTCAGTGGGTCAACAAGCGCTTTGTGCCCTCGAAGAACACACCTCTTAAACCAATGATGCAGCTTTTTCTATGTTCACCTCAATAGATTCATCACAGACCGCAGGAGAAAAAAAAACTTTTTGTATAGTGTAAACCCTTTTATTAAAGTTGCGTCATTAAAAACAATCAATCTATACAATCACATTGTAAGATGCGTTATGCCATGCACCCGGAAATGCACTGCTTAATCACTGATGAAAGCTGGCTCCACCATCCATGGTGCAAGCTCAGCCTTCACTCCCGACACTTCCAGGTGTACTTCCAGTGTCCTCTGCAAGATGGCGTCACTTCCTGTAGCTCCAGCCCAAAATGTTTCATCGTAATGATGTCTTCAGGAGGCTTAGTGTCTCCTGTGAAACCAAGAAGAGAGGGGAGAGGTGCTGCAGCCAGGACAGTGATAGAGTGGTGAGAGGTTCCAGATATGTGTTTATTGATGGAGGGCATGGGGACAGTGAGTTTTTTGAACCTTAATGCAGGACATGCATTATGGTAAATAAAAAAAAAAATTGGCCTTTAGAACCACTTCAAACAACCATTTTCTACATGGCTCAGGTCTGTTTATAGCAAGACCGGATCTAGCCTATCTGATCTGGGGGTGCAGTAAAAACAAGTAAGGGGGCATAATGTCAACACTGACAGTTTGACACACCTGGAAAACCCTATTATGTATTTGGATGTCATTAAATTAGGGTGATTAAACAGAATCTGTGCCCCCCCATATCAGATGTCCCCCTATAATAGATGTCCCTATCAGAATCCCCCTCAGAGTTCCTCTTCAGGTCCTCCTCAGAGTGCCCCTCACATTAGGTGCCCCCTTACATCAGGGTCTCCATCAGAGTGCCCCCTTACATCAGGGTCCCCATCAGAGTCCTTTCTTACATCACAAGTCCCCATCAGAGTGTCCCCTTACATCAGAGTGCTCGTCAGAGTGCCCCCTTGCATCAGGGTCCCCATCGGAGTGCCCCTTTGCATCAGGATCCCAATCAGAGTGCCCCCTTACATTAGGGTCTCCATCAGAGTGGGCCCTTACATTACAGTTCCCATCAGAGTTCCCCCTTACATCAGGGTTCCCATCAGAGTGCCCCCTTACATCAGGTTCCTTGTCCGAGTCCTTTATTACATCAGGTGTCCCCATCAGAGTGTTCTCTTACACCAGAGTCCTCATCAGAGTGCCCCCTTTTATCAGGGTTCCCATTGGAGTGCCCCTTTGCATCAGGGTCCCAATCAGAGTGCCCCCTTACATTAGGGTCTCAATCAGAGTGGGCCCTTACATCACAGTTCCCATCAGAGTCCCCCCGTACATCAGGGTCGCCATCAGAGTCCCCCCGTACATCAGGGTCGCCATCAGAGTCCCCCCTTACATCAGGGTCGCCATCAGAGTGCCCCCTTACATCAGGTTTCCCCATCAGAATGCCCCCTTGCATCAAGGTCCCTATCAGAATGCCCCCTTAGACCAGGGCTCCCATCAGAATGCCCCTTACATTAGGGTCCCCCTTATATCTATTGTCCCCATCAGAGTGTTTCCTTGCATATGATCAGTTATCCCCATCAGACTGCCCCCTTATATCAGGTATCTGAAAGCGATTTCCCCCGTACATGGACTGCTTCCTTTCAGAGTGCCCCCTTACATCAACTTTCTGCATCAGACTGACTCGCAGACCAGTGGATGCACTCTCAGAGACCTGGGGGGGGGCACCACAAAAATCTGGGCAGTCCCACCCTGGCACCCCCCTAGATCTGGCCCTGGTTTATAGTCAGAGCTTTCTGTGTTGAATTTAGTTGGGATTTCTAAGGCCACACCACAGTACATTGGTGGGTGGTGGGCTATCCTTTGTTGGTCTGTTATTCCCAGCGAGGGGCTTTTTTACAGTCACAATTTTGAAGTATATTAATAATGCCCCTACAGAAATGCTGAAAGCCTAGTATCCAATCCCAGAAAATGAAAGCTGCTCAAGAAAATGTATCACGTAGAGAACTATGACGACCCTGGCCAGTTTTCTAAGAAAAGTATTGACCAAGATTCTATAGTGCAGTACTGTGGACAGGGAAAACAACAGAATTTCCTCTTAATTTAATGGCAAAGAGAAAAGCACAAGAAGAACTTGGCAGGTAACTCCGCGGCTAATGTTGTTAAGTAGTTACACGATGATAATATCAAACAGCATGAAAATACACTTTCTGCCAATTTTGGCACACGTTTTACTTGATTGTTTACCAATTTACAGGTGCTTGAATTTCACCTTCCTTCAATGTGAGCGCGGTGTAATTACCGACAATTCATTTCTACTTAATAACCATGCTCTCCTTTTTTTTTTAACCTCAACGTGATGAATATTAATTGAGGTAACAGATCGCTGACACCTGAGACATCAATTTTAACACATTATAATAGCAGGCAATGGCCTTGACTTTATCCAGCTGTTTACTGTCATTTCCAAAGCTCTCGTGATGTGAATGTTACGAACTTTCAATAATTATCCTGTGATTGTGCCTATGCTGAGAACTAGAACATTATTTATCAAGGTGTGGGATGCGAAACGCTGGATGTGCACAAAGAACATAGTGGTGTTCAGCACTTATACTATGTGGCCAAACTGTTGTGGACTCCTGACCATCACAGCCATCATCCCTGTGACCAAACCCCGATGGCGAAATTTGTCAGAACAGCGGCCATTCCTCCCCACATGGAAAAAAAATATATTTGAAATTTATTTTAAAAATATTCTTCCCAAATATATTGACATATATTTGAAATACTACAATTTTGGCCATATTCAATATATATATATATATATATATATATATATATATATATATATATATTTATATAAAAATACTGTATGTTGAAATGTGTTTTTATTACAAAATATATGAAAAATATTTTTCAAAATACATTTTCAAATATACCGTATGTCTTTAAAAATTCAAATCTGCATTTTTGGAATTCATTTATTTCAGGTACTTACCGTATTTTTCGCTCCATAAGACACACTTTTTTCCCCCAAAAAAAGGGGGAAAATGTTAGTGCGTCTTATGGAGAGAATACCGGTCCGGTATTTCCACCGCCGCCATGTCAGAATACCGGGCCGGCCTCTCAGCTCTGCAGCGGGACCTTATGGAGATGACTGCTGACCTTTGGGGAGGGGGGGGAGCGGGTACCTGAATCTGACAGGTACCCGCTCTTACTTCCGCTGAGTTTTTCTTTGACCTTACCTGTTCCTCTATCCAGCGGCGCGCTGTCTTCCCGGCTTCTGTAGTGTGGACGCTGGGCTTGACAGCCGGGTGCCAAGCGGTGCTTTTTGTGAATGGTAAGGTGGTACCTGGGACACATGACAGATCCCAGAAGCCGCCGGACCAATCACAAAGCGCAAGTGCTTCTCGCTCATGCGCACTGGGCACCCGGCTGTCATGCCGAGCGACGACACTACAGAAGCCGGGAAGACAGCACGGCGCTGGATAGAGGAACAGGTAAGGTCAAAGAACAACTCCGCGGAAGTAAGAGCGGGTACCTGTCAAATTCAGGTACCCTCTCCCAAATTCAGGTACCCTCTCCCAAAGGTCAGCAGTCATCTCCTGTGCTGTCCGCAGTCTCTGGTCATCCCTGTGCTGTCCGCAGTCTCTGGTCATCCCTGTGCTGTCCGCAATCTCTGGTCATCCCTGTGCTGTCCGCAGTCTCTGGTCATCCCTGTGCTGTCCGCAGTCTCTGGTCATCCCTGTGCTGTCCGCAGTCTCTGGTCATCCCTGTGCTGTCCGCAGTCTCTGGTCATCCCTGTGCTGTCCGCAGTCTCTGGTCATCCCTGTGCTGTCCGCAGTCTCTGGTCATCCCTGTGCTGTCCGCAGTCTCTGGTCATCCTGTGCTGTCCGCAGTCTCTGGTCATCCCTGTGCTGTCCACAGTCTCTGGTCATCTCCTGTACTATATCTGCAGTCCATTAGTTCAGAATTTTTTTTTTCCTGTTTTCTGCCTCTAAAACCTAGATGCGTCTTATGGTCAGGTGCGTCTTATGGAGCGAAAAATACGGTATATAGCACCGTCAATTTACGCAGTGCTTTACATATATAAAAAAGTATATTTTTAAAAATATATATATTTTTTAAATATATTCTTCAGATTTTTTTCAAATATATTTTTCTTCCATGTGGAGAGCAATAGCCTCAGCCGCTGTTCTGGCCACAGCCTCTGATATATATATATTTATTGAAATATATTTTGAAATATATTGAATATGGCCAAAATTGTAGTGTTTCAAATATATGTCAATGTATTTGGGAAGAATATTTTTAAAATATATTTCAAATATATTTTTCTTCCATATGGGTCAACATTGGACTCCTGGGGTGTCGGTTGAGCAACGTCCACCCCTTCACTTGTCTTGACCATCACGTCTACTATAAAGCCAAAACATGTGGAGAACCAATAATATCATTGGGTTCAGTTGCTTGCGGTGAAGGTTCTATGTGTTGCAGCAATTCTAATCCATTATCAATTTTGACAAATATTTTTTTTCAAACCTTATGTCAACAGGCCCTTTTCTGTGTATTTGCACGTGTTTGCAAGTGGTAATGCTGAGTTCCCCTGAAGATGTGCATTTGCACGAAACACATTGGGTGGAGCTACCTGTGACATCATCATGTATGCTCGATGCTGAGCAGCGGTGCCATGTTTTGAGTACAACACTTGTATCTTCCATCTCTTGTAAGTATTATTTTTAAATAAAACATAAGCCAATTTTTGATACTAGACCATGGAGTATTTTTTTTTTCTCTGAGCATTACACATTGGAAGATCACAGCGGTGGTCCGCTGGAGCTCTGAGAGGAGGGTTGGAGCCATGTGGTGTGATTGATCCTAGGCTGCTATCAGTTGCCTTGTAATACATCCATGTTGGATTAACCTCCTATAATTTGCTTTATATCCCCCTTACTAGGGTCTGTGGATAAATATAATTCCATAAAAAGTATAAATAAACAATATGGGTTTCCAGAAATCCAATAATTAATGCATTCTTAACACCATATTCTTAATACTATATATTGAAACCTCCTGCGCTTCAGATGAATAAACTAACTAAGCAGCCAGCACCCTCTTTAAACCAAAAAGTGTGAAAGTAAATATACAAATTAGTGCAGCGCTAAATAAATGCCATTAAAAAATAGACATACCCTAAACTCGTGCATAAAATAATATATAATGCATAAATAAATATAAATTTATATAAATATAAATAAGATATGCATGCAAGGATGACCCCCTGCCAATCCCCTATGGGGAAAAAACTTGACCATATAACTAGGATGATAAATATATAATCATGCAAAGGGACAACACACTGCAGCAAGTGATAAAGTGATTCAATACAGTCCACTTCAAACAAAAAACTGTGTGATTCTTCAAAACGTGAGAGTGCCACTGGTGCCACAATCTACAATGGTCTGAGTGCCTCCTCACCTCCCCGCACTGACCACAAGGGCCAATACGCCTTGATAGTATATAGGGTATAACCCTCAGGTGTCAGCCGATCTCAGATCCACAGGAGATTCCACCTCCAACACTGTATTTCCAAAGCCACCTCCAGCCGCTGTTAATGGTGGTAGTAAACCACCATGCGATGTTCAGAGACACAAAACAAAAGCTCCCATAGCGTGATACTGCAAATTTTATTATGTAGTATAGATACAAAATTCCTACTCACATTTCCACAGAAGATAAAAAACATATAGCAAGTCCTCATGTGATCCTGGTACTGCGGGTGTACCTGGAGTCCCAATATGGCGCGTGCGTCGGAAGTGACGTCACCGCGTACCGGAAGTGTCGTCAGGGCGTGCCAACGCGTTGCGTCACGGGTACACGTGACTTCATCACGTGTACCCGTGACGCAACGCGTTGGCACGCCCTGACGACACTTCCGGTACGCACCATATTGGGACTCCAGGTACGCGCCATATTGGGACTCCAGGTACACCCGCAGTACCAGGATCACATGAGGACTTGCTATATGTTTTTTATCTTCTGTGGAAATGTGAGTAGGAATTTTGTATCTATACTACATAATAAAATTTGCAGTATCACGCTATGGGAGCTTTTGTTTTGTGTCTCTGAACATCGCATGGTGGTTTACTACCACCATTAACAGCGGCTGGAGGTGGCTTTGGAAATACAGTGTTGGAGGTGGAATCTCCTGTGGATCTGAGATCGGCTGACACCTGAGGGTTATACCCTATATACTATCAAGGCGTATTGGCCCTTGTGGTCAGTGCGGGGAGGTGAGGAGGCACTCAGACCATTGTAGGATTGTGGCACCAGTGGCACTCTCACGTTTTGAAGAATCACACAGTTTTTTGTTTGAAGTGGACTGTATTGAATCACTTTATCACTTGCTGCAGTGTGTTGTCCCTTTGCATGATTATATATTTATCATCCTAGTTATATGGTCACGTTTTTTCCCCATAGGGGATTGGCAGGGGGTCATCCTTGCATGCATATCTTATTTATATTTATATAAATTTATATTTATTTATATGCATTATATATTATTTTATGCACGAGTTTAGGGTATGTCCATTTTTTAATGGCATTTATTTAGCGCTGCACTAATTTGTATATATTCTTAATACTAATTCCCCCAGTAACTATATGCAGCGCTGGGGAGCCAATGAGGCATCCATGCACAACTAAGAATATCAAACAGAAATGGTCTACATACATGGTGGTGGGCCTATAGCTTTTTCCTCCTCCTTGGAGAATATACATGGTGATGGATGCTCTTATGAATCCAATGTAATGAACAGTAAAATTGTGGATATACTTCCACAGTCACATCACAATAACACTTCGCTTTTTTATATCACAATCACAAGCACATACAAATACACAAAGGATATTCATGCTGAAAAAGAATACGGAGAAATTAATATAACTGAACTCTTACAGCAATATGAAGCATCTGATAATGAGCCCACGAAATATAGTTCCCTATTAAAAAAGAAATCTGCCAAATTTCCATCACCCAGTATAAATCCCAATGTAGCCGCTTTCCTAAAACTTGTGTGTGGTGAAATTAGGGCTTTAAAACCCAAACTTCTAACAGAGGGGAACATGACCAACAATGAGAGGCATGCTTTAAACCAACTAGCAAACAATGCTTCCCTGACCATTAAACCATTCGATAAAGGTGGTAATATTGTAATCATGGACAATGACCAATACTTGTCCATGTGTTACAAAATTTTAAGCAATTCCAACTGGTACCGTCGAATTCCTCTCAGTATAGTGAAACATTTTAACACCTAATTCTATGAACTCGTAGATGCGGCCTACAGAGAAGGTATACCTGGGATTTTGTTCACACTTCCTTTCCTAAGATTCCCACTTTTTATGCCTTACCCAAAATTCACAAAAAGACGATTGGTGGACGAATATCTTAGACCTCATGTTCTAAGTCTCCCTTTTCCACTATTCATCTTTTACAGATCATTGATAACCTCCATGTATCTGATGAGGCAATACTCGTTACCATAGATGTGGAGGCTCTGTATAGCTCGATATCCCATGACCAGTGGTGTATTTAGGTTTTGTGCTGCCCTAGGCAACAGAAAAATTGTCTGCCCCCATGGACACCGACCAACATAACCCCCCTTCTCCCTCCTGCGGAGAGAGCCTTTGACCAATAACACCCCTGCCCCCCACTTGGGAGAGCCTTCCACTACCCCCCCCCACATGGCAATAGAGAGACACTCATCTTCACAGCTCCGGACATCCCCGGGAACGTGAGCCAGGCTCTACATACACCATCAAGCAGCCCACAGCCTCTCTTGGATCCCACCTGGTACCCATGGTGCGCGTGTCCCTTCTTTCATCCCTTCTTCTGGGGGGAGGTGCTGCTCCCCTGAAAAATGCCGCCCTAGGCAAGTGCCTTGTTTGCCTTGTGGTAAATACGCCTCCAGGCCATGACAGAGGTTTAGCCACTGTCAGACATGTGTTGAGTCAACTAGGACAACAAGAGTTGGCATTCAATGATTTCATCATTGTGGCCTTGGACTTCATTCTTCACATCTTTACTTTCAATGGCTATTATTATTATTATACAGTATTTATAAAGCGCCAATGGTTCGCTCAGTGCTGTACATTACAAAGGGGGACACAACATGTGACAGAACAATACCAATACAATGCAAAACATGAGGGGATCGAGGGCCCTGTTCTTTCGAGCTTACAATCTAGGAGACCACTATCTCCAGGTACAGGGAGTGGCTATGGGGACATGTTGTGCCCCCTCCTATGCTAACCTGTACTTGGGAGAGTGGGAGCATATGTTCATGGCCGATGAGGCCCTAGCCATGTATACTGACCACATTTGCATGTGCTATAGATATATTGATGATATGTTGATTCAGTCCTGCTGATCTACTAACCAAATGTCTTGAGAGAATGAACAGAAATGATTTTAATTTAACCTTCACTATGACCTATGACACACATGAG